AAAGGCAGAAAGGTTGTGTGTGAAATGGATCAGCAAATAGCTGACTTCATTAATGATCCAGATTCTGGTAAATATTTAATAATTTTATTTGTATTTAATTAACTATGGGATATAACTTATTGATATATTGATATTGAAATGTTGTGAATGAAATGCATGTAGATGCCATATTCTTAGGCATAATCACGTTCAAAAATGACACATATTTGATTGGTGCTTCTTTGTATCAGTTAGGGGTTTTAAAGGTTTTAAAAAAAAAGCAGTCCATAAAATTCCTGAGGTATTCAATATTCATGACCGAAAAAAACTGACAAATCCATCTTAATGTTCGGAGATTTTGCAGGTTAGTGCCAAATACTAACAGGAAATCCCTCTGCGTTTTTGTCACAGATAGAGAGAAAGCTGTAGTGATTGCAATGATGCAGACAGATGCTACACTAGTATATTGCAGGAATCACCTCTGTAGAGCTGCAGAGCACTAAATAAAGCAACAGAGGAATACTGTTTTGTTTTTTTTTTACTTCTCTTGCACCTTAGGGATCAGGCAAAACTTATAACAATGGTGGGACAGGTACAATAAATACTTCATTTCCATCGCTTTCATATTGCCCCCCCCCCCCCAAAACAAAAAAAAATATGCCTTTAAGCCTATGAAAAGGTTACTGTCCAATGGAACTTGACGTTTGTGAGATTGTTGCAACAAAAATAACAAAGGAAAGTGTTTACTATCTTCAAAACAGTAAACAAGATCAAAAGTCCACACAACAATACAATACAAATCAGGAGCAGAGCAAACGCGGACATCTAAAACATCAGAGGTTGGATTAGGTGCTATGGAGGAGTGAAAAACATCAGTCAGAATCTAAGTTAATGAAAGACTTTATTTACTGACAAGGTCATTGTTTCGACAATAGAACTTACGAAATTATTTACTAGTAAAACTTGTGGTATACAGAAAAGTTCACTTACAGGCACTTGATTGTGCAAGACATGAATTTAACAGGGAACTTAAAGGGAGAGTCATAAGGCGTTGAGGAATTAAATTTTAAGGTTTTAGACAAACAAAATGGTAAAACATGCCATAAATTGAAGGGTGTTAAAAAGTAAAAATTGCCTATTTTTAAAGTGACACAGTCTGTGCTTTAAAAACCATCAATATATTATGGTTGTGGGGATATATTTTTAATTCCTAATTTATTTACTTTGATTACCTTCAAGATACACTGTATAGTCTACACTTGTTTAACGTCCATAGTTTCAAGGACATCTAGCTGAGATTATGTGGAGGTCAGTGGTCGTCAGATGTCTATTCCTCCCTCTTTGATTCTGTGAAGTCCGTGTACCCCCTTGACTTGCCTGCTACTTATCACTACAAGACACCATTGTTGACACATGGGCCTGTCCTCCTTACTCCCAGTTATCAGACTGGAATATCAGACCAGGTATGTTAAAAATCAAAGTATTATATTATTAAGAGGCACAATGCAACGAAAAACATAAATAAAATGAAAAATCCAAAAAACGATTTTGTAAATTATTTTCATTTTAACAGGAATAAATCAGTATAAAATAATAATAAACAGTAAATACCTTCACCCATAGATGCTTTATACCAAAATTGGTTGAATTTGGTTGAGCGATTTCAGAGAAGAGGCTGAAAATGTTCAAATGTTAACACACGACGACTAGCAATAGGTCACCTGAGTAAAGAAAACGGTAACCACATGTGCAACATAAAAGTTATATTCGTTGGGACAAGTCCTTTCTTTGAATAACAACATTTTTGATCTTTTTACCTTGGAGTCTGACTTACATTTGAGAAAACTTTCACCTTCACTATAAGCTGCCATACGGTGGCAACAGTGTTTCACAAACATATCCTCTAGTTTTTTCACTTTGGAAGTAAATAAAACTCAAAATACTGATCGATGTATGTATTGTTAATATCATGTTACATTTAATGTTATGAACTCCACACTCTGCGAATCTGAAACAAATGCTCTAACCATTGCGCTATGCTTGGATTACTTATTTTACTCTCCAAAACAAATAATATGACATAGGTTACATCTAAACTCTAATTATTTCGAATGGAAAACAAACTAAAATTTCTACATTTATATTCATAACAGATCAAGACTGATCGAGGAAAACGGGGATGTCGACATCTTTTATCGCAAAAATGTGGATCATTCTTGGAAAGTAATACATGGAAGCTTTTTCAGTCAAAGATCGGATGGCACTATCAGCATTCAAACAAGTCAGCCTGCAGTGTTGAATGCAACATTTGAAAAAAATGACATCACAAATCTCAGAAAGAACATGAAGATTTGGATAAATAAGATGTCAGAAATAGATATTGCACGGTGGGAGAACTTTCTTAAAACCTTAGATGAGACTTCAAATAACCCACAGAACTACTCACGAACAGGAAGCTGTTTGGTGTCTCTAGAAAAGCCCATAGTATGTTCAAGAGTTTATTAAAAATAATGATGACAGAGCATATTCAGCGGATACTAACAGAGGAAATGGAAACCCCAGTATTCTGCCACAATAAAAAGTCACTCAGTTCCTTTAGAAAGTTTTATTTGACAGATAGTCAACCCTCACTTGCATGTGCAAGTGCGCATGTGAACGTGCGTCTGGTAAAAAGCTACAATAAAACAACACCAAAGTAAGTAATGACAAGTACTGCTTTCCATAGAAAAATTTCTCAAAACATGATTCACTTAATTTAAAAAAAAATTACATAGACAAGCAATATCTCTTATAAATCATTAACTAACTATACTCTGATCAACTGTATCAAATTCCATGTATAAAATATATTTTTAAGACAAATACAGACTTAATTACTATCGACTATATGACATGAATAGCACACCATACTTTAAGCACATGGCACAAACATTATCTAAAATTATGCAGAACTGCAATAATTAGCATAGCTGACAATAGAGATATAGGTAAGCGATAACATAATCTGAAGAATAAACAGTGTGTAAAAACTTTAAACTACTTACACCGTGGATTACAAACATTCAACCGGGAGTAAAAACTCGCCGTGACAGTATGGCGGCACAAACACAGAAAATTAACTCGTACTTAAACACATTCAATAAAAATTCGTATTGTACTCAGTCTAACTGACGTAATAGTACAACATAAATTCTAAAGAGATGAAAATATTAAAAATTAGACAGAACACTCCCCGTTTGAAATCTCAAGATTTCACTATCAAAATTACAAACTGCTGTATTAAGAGTATGACAAAAATCAATAATCTCTCGATAACAGTCTTAAATAGTCTGTCAACACATTCTCAGACTTATACAATTTCACATTCAATGAGAAGTATCATGTCAACGACTGGTCTGATATACACTGTAGGCTTTCCATTCACAATGGTACGAATTTCAGCCTTTCGCACATGATCATCAGAACTTTTGAAGGCTTTCACAACTAAGCCAATAGGCCAGCAGTTCTGTTCAACAGTCTTGTCTTTTATAAGAGCTACATCTTCTTCGGCTATGTCACGTTGATTCTTGGTCCAAGGTCTTTCCACTGGCATCAGTCAGCATTGAATTGACGATCTTACGGGTAATACCGATCATTCTTTCCCATGCCCCACCCACGTGGGATGCATGGGGCGGATTGAAGACCCATACAGTACCAGAGTTGTGTAGATACTTCTTCAAGGCTGCATCATTGACGTATATGGCATCAATGCGCAAGTCATCTACGGCCCCACCAAAGTTAGTGCCTTGGTCAGAACGGAAGGTCTTTACCTGACCTCTTATGGCGGTGAATCTTCTGACAGCATTGATAAATGCAGAAGAACTCATTTCCTCAACTAGTTCAATATGAACCGCCCTTGTGGTTAAGCATGTGAACAATATTCCCCAGCGCTTGGAGTTGGCACTACCTCCTCGACTCTTACGTGAAACTACAGCCCAAGGTCCGAATGCATCTACACCTACGTTTGTGAAAGGTGGCGATGGGTCAAGGCGGTCTGCTGGTAGATCAGCCATGATCTGATACTGCGTCTTCCCTCCGAGTTTTCTGCACGTGATACATTTATGAATAATCGATGAGACAAGTCGTTTGGCCCCTGTTATCCAAAGTCCAGCAGCCCTAATAGCTCCTTCGGTGAAGTGACGCCCTTGGTGCTTGACATTCTCGTGATAGTGTCGAACCAGTAGGGTTGCTATGTGATGGCGTCCAGGTATAATCAATGGTTTCTTCTCTTTCAAGGTCAATTTTGAATTGACTATCCGACCTCCTACACGAAGAAGTCCCTGATCATCTAAAAATGGATTAAGGTTGGCTATTGGGCTTCGTCGAGGTAGGGGCTCGTCTTGTCGTATACAGTCAATCTCGTCACAGTACACCTCAGACTGCACCATTCGGATCACAAAGTGCTCTGTGTCTTGGTATCTTTCAGTTACTGTGTTAGAATCAATGTCTTTGCCTTGAAACTTGAAAAGCATGTATCTGAGAAAGTTCATGGCCAACACAAGTTTCCTCCAAGCAGAAAATCGCTGGAATCGTTGAGTCATTGCAGTGTATGGTTGTCCACCATCTTCGTCTGCAGTGCAGGTTTTCATTGCTGAAACAATAGGGCGAATCTCTTTATCTTCATCTGGCTTAATGAGTGAATGTTCATTCTCATTTTGTTCCTCCTGTTTAATAACGAGAAGTTGTTTTGGTCCTTGTAACCAAGTGCTGTCTTGAAACTCATGTGCAGGTAGACATCGCGTCGCTAAAACTGCAGGGTTATGATCAGTAAACATTTAATTCCACTGGCTTGGAGTAGTAAACTTCCTTATGCGGTCTACTCTGTTGGCAACATAGATATAGAATCTCCTAGACTCATTACAGATGTAGCCGAGGACTACTTTGCTATCAGTGTAATACTTCACAGAGTCTATTTGTATGCCCAGGTGATTCAGAACACACTGTGCAATCTCCACCGCCAACACAGATGCACTCAATTCCAATCATGGGATAGTGTGTCCACTTATGGGTGCAACTTTAGCCTTTCCCAACATGAATCCAACTTTGCACTGTCCGTCACTATCGGTTGTGCGCAAATAAACGACAGCCGCTATGGCCTTTTCAGATGCGTCACTGTACACATGAAGTTCTTTCGTCACTGCTTTGCTGAGATTTGTCACATATGTCCGTGGAATACGCAGGGCTTCAAGTGCATCTAAGGTATTCTTCCAAGAATTCCATAGAGATGTTAGTTCTTCAGAGAGGGACTCATCCCACTCTCGAGTCTGTGCTATCAGTTGCCTGAGTAGGAGTTTACCATAAATAGTCACTGGTGCTAAAAAGCCTAGAGGGTCATAAATCCCATTGATGGTTGAAAGTAAACCTCTTCGTGTGGCAGGTTTATTGTCTTTTGATAGTTGGAACAGAAAGGTGTCATTGTTTACATCCCAGCTTAGACCAAGGCTGCGCTGCAGAGGCATGCCCTCCCTTTGTAAATCCAAGTCTTTCAGATTTTATGCTAGGTCTTCAACTGGAAAGGCTGACATGACTTCAGGACTGTTGGAGACAAATTTATGAAGCCGGAGATTATCAAATTCCTTCAAGACGCTCTGAGTATCCTTGAGAATGCGAACAGCTTCTGCAGTGGTTGGACAGGAAGTCAACCCATCATCAACGTAAAAGTCATTTTTTACGAAATTGGTAACGTGATCTCCATAGTTCGGTTTTGCCGCTTCAGCTGCCTTTCCGAGTCCGAGTGTTGCTACAGCAGGTGAGGGCCGGTTACCAAAGACATGGACCCTCATCCTTATACTCAATGATTTCTTTGTCAAGGTCGTTATCCTTGTGCCACAAAAATCTTAAGAAGTTGCGATGATCCTCTCCTACTAAAAAACAGCGAAACATATGTTGCACATCGGCAGTCACAGCAACCATTTCCTTGCGAAATCTTAGAAGAATGCCAAGCAGGCTGTTTGATAAATCTGGTCCTGAAAGAAGGACTTCATTCAGGGTAACTCCCTAAATTTAGCCGATGAATCGAACACACCCCTAATCTGATCTGGTTTTTTGGGATGGTAAACACCAAATAGGGGCAGAAACCAACATTCATCTCCATCAGACAACTTTGGGGCAACTTCTGCATGATGATTGTCCAGAATCCTAGCCATGAATGTAAGAAAATGTCCTTTTTTCACAGGGTTCTTCTTAAGGCTAACATCAAGAAGTTTAGCTCGCTGAATGGCTTGCTCCTTGTTGTTCGGTAACCGTTGTCGATTCTCTCGAAAGGGCAGTGGGGCCACCCAACTTCCTGAAGGGCCTCTGATAAATTCACTATCCATCTGTTGCAAGAACATTTTATCCTCTATTGACATGCCTTGTTCATCGTCGTCCTTCCTCCTGATAAATAGCTGCGACTCATCAGACAAAGACTGACCTACAAGTACCTCAAACTTGTTGCTGTATGGCTTCATAGTTGAAGGCTGACCAGTTGGTAGAAGGTAAGTTTTCTTAACACTTAGATCACGTGAGGCATGTTGCATGTTGAGACAAGTTTCTCCGATGACAACCCAGCCAAGTTTGAGTTGTGCATAAGGAGCTTTCGGTGGACCAAAGATCTGATGTAGAACATGATGGGCCTCTATCAAATCGCGTCCTATCAGCAAAAGAATGTGACATTCTTCATCAAGTGGTTGAAGGTTTCCAGCAATTTCTATGAGATGTTCATGATGAAGTGTGTCTTCAGGTGTTGGTATTTCATCTGGATTGTTTGGTATATGGTCGCACTCAATCAGGGTTGGTAGCTCAAAGTCTACCTTGCCTTCTAAGTAATAAAGGGTACATTATACAGTCAACATTTTTTTTTTTAATTAGGTCAAGGTCATAACTTTATGTAGGTCAAGGAGGTCAAAGCCCAAGGTCATAACATTTTAGGTCAAAGTCAAGGTCATACCATTTATCAGTCACAAACCTTGAGACATATTAGGTCAAGGTCATAACCTTCAACAGTCACTGACCTTGATACATCAATTAAAATCTTGGTTCATAAACTTGTATATTAGGTCAATGTCATAACATATTAGGTCAAATTCAAGTTCATAACAAAATAGGTCAAAGTCAAAACATTTAATATTCAAAGCGCTTCATACATATTAGGTCAAGGTCATACCATTCAATAGCTTCTAAACTTGAGACTTCGATTTCAACCTCAAGGTCATCAACCCGAAATAAAAGGTCAACAGCAAGGTCATAACAGTTAAGATAATTTTAAGCCTTGCTATAAATTGGAATCCAGCTTTTTAACGTTTTAGACTGACATGTTTCCATTCACCAGCAAAGCTTTAGTAAGTATAATCTTATACATCATTTTCTGTATTTTACATTTTTCCCATAGAGGTGGTCAGTTTTATTAAACTTGTAAATATCATCGGTTATTTGACAAATCAATTTTTCAAACATACTTTCTAAAATATTATAATGTACATGGTAAATTATACAACTCAACTCCAAGGTCGTCAATTCAATTTTTATATGCTACAAACAATTTAGTTGTTCTAATCTTCGTTGTGTTCAGCGCTGAACAATAATCTTCCCAATTTAAACATATCTTTGATAATATGAACCCTTAATAATTTTATTAGTTTAAAGACACAAGATTTTTTTTTAAATATAATAGTATTTGATTTATTGTTTTCTAAGATTATCATATACAGGGCAATTTTTAATATAAAATTGAATTCATCTGTCTCTAAGAATATGGAGCCGAGAAATTTCCTTATGACAGTATCCCTCGATTATTTTGATAACCCCTCTATACTCCCTGTTAGTAGAGGAATCCCAGTTCTTTGATGAACCCTGCTATTTTAATTCTTAGTGACAACCTTGCAAATCGTACATGATAAAATAATCGGACAAATGTATGAGAATTTATTTTTTTCTCATTATTTTTTAATTATGACAATTACAAAGATATTATAATCGGAAACACAATTCATATAAATCGTTAATCATTATACTCGATCATTAAAAGTAATTGCACTATACACATGTACATTTATTGATTTTCAAATGCTTATTATTATCAACGAATTTTACTAACAAAACTAAATACAATGTAGTTTTTCTTGTCTGAAATATGGAGATAATGAACAGTTATCTCTCATGATAGAGTTTGGAGCGGTATTCTCCGTTTACAGTTTTTTCTCACGTAATCTTTAACATATGTTATGAGAAAAGTCGTCTGTGCCAAATCTGCCTGTATGCAACTAATGAGCTCGTCAACCGCCTCTAATTCCTCATGAAGTGGTTGGGATGATGGCTCCTCTGGTGTTGCGCAGCGTCTATTAAGTGCTGCATATTTTGTGGCGTTATTTCTTCTACAATAAAAAAATAAAGCTCGATGTAGAATTATACACTTTTTATATGTTTTTTTCATAAATTTTTCTGTATAAAAAATCAATTATTAAAATCAAATTTAGCTGTTTTTTACATTACAATAAATCATAAAGAAAGATTTGTTTAATCATAATAGTCTCTAATCTTTATAGATTTTTATAACAGTTGCGTAGCTGCCATTAGACACTTAAGGCACGTGCCTACACTTAAAATTTTCCGAAAGAAAAGTAAAACCAAAACTGTAGAAAATAAATATGACTTCATATATTTTTTACCATTGATATAGTCTCATATATAGATTACCTGTGTATAAATTATAATCGGCAGTTTCTTTGCAAGAATTCTAATATTCAGTCTTTGGAATTTTTACTTAATCAATAATTAATTAACTTGCAATTAACTTTTTATGGCTGCACATCCGAATTTACCTCATCTTTGTGGATGAGGTAACTATTTCTGAACAAACTTAAACTTGTTCATTTAATATTGATTTTATTTTGTCTCTCTGGCTATTTTTTGAATACTTTTTACATTACTTTCTTCTTCGTGTTCTAATTTTAATTACGCCAAAATATATGAAAATTCTCCTACCAGGACCTTGCCTTCTCATCGTACAATGAGCCTTTACTTCATTAAAGACCTATCTACGCTCTTGAATTAAGTTATGAAGGTTTTTTTTTAATTTACAATATCGGTTTAAAAAAAAGTGTGTTTACCTAAATGCCTTCAAAATGGATTGTTCCATGGCATGCTGGTTTTCTTTTTTCTGTTGGCGCGGGTCTCTTGTCTTTTGGCGTGGATCTCTCGTCTTTTGTTGAACTGGCACAGAACGCCGCGGCGAGGTTTGAACTGGCACAGAAGTTTCGTACTTGTTTTTTCTGAATAAAAAAATGTGATTCAATATTTTTGCTGTTTTAGAAGAATTAAGTTACTGACATTGGGAAATATGTGGAACTTTTAATTTTTTGATAACAATGAATTAAAGTTTAGCGATAACATTATATAACAAAATTAAAAAATATCTCGGACGAGTTATTTGAATAGAACTAAGCATAAATAGCAAAGATGAGAATTTCTATATAATTTACCTGAGCAGAGTTAACAAGATCGAGTCTTCAGTTTCGCTCAGTCTTCTTTTTTTGGTTCTGCCTTCAGACTGGACTTGCGTCTTAGGGGTTGTTAAGCCTTTGTCGATCTGAGTTGAAATTGTGGTCTGTGTAGTAGGGGCAGAGGAGGATGCCATGGTTTGGATCTGAACAGGTGTACATGTGGTGGTCTGACTTGGGATAATATTTTCCTGTTTAATCTGCACGGTAGTCCCGTCATCCCCGGTTAGAGCAAAGTAGGGATCAATCGGAGAATACTCCGGTTCCAGAATGGGAAGTGCCCAATCTGTTCCTAAGTCGAGCCATTCTTTTTCAAAGTCATCAAATGACCTTGATGGGCTAGATGTGTGCTTCTCATCCCTAGATAATAAAAGAAAGATGCACACTTCAAAATATCTGCTCTAATTTTTGAAAAAAAAATATTGTAGGAAAGTATAATAAACTGAAAAAATATTAAATGAAATAAATAAATTTTAATAATATCCGAGAAAAAAACACAACAATTACGAAGTTGCTTGTTCGCTTTTAACGGTGAAGAAATTTTTTTAAGAAAATAAAAAAATTCTTTTGTCAACCAATTTTATTGTAAATCTCTAAAGATTTGTCGCAAAGGGAATAGCTACTTGCGTGAATTTATTATAAATAAACTTCTCTACTTTCAAGTAATAAGTAACAAACTAAAAATACACAAACACAAAAAAATGAGGTAGTATTTTCACAATCAAATCTTCTATCTGGTCATAAAAAACAAAACAAAGCAAGTACTTACAAAATGTCCAGAAATTTCTCTGCCATGATCACAAAATAAGACGTTTTCAAAACAGATATTTGGAGTCTTGCAGAATTCTCACGTAGTTTGTATACGCAAAGGATCAAATAGTACTGAGAGACAAAAATGTATCATATTTTATACTCATTTTATGTTTACTGGGTGTGGTTTTAGGGGATGTATGTATTTGTGAAATCATTAGCTAACAGAAAAC